GACACTTACGATGGACTCAGAGGAATTGGAATCAAGTTGTCTTCAGTGATGAATCCCGATTTAATCTTCGATTTGCTGATGGTAGGGCGAGGGTGTGGAGGCGCCGTCATGAACGTTACGCCCAGTGTTGTGTACAGGAAGTTGACAGATTTCGAGGCGGAAGTGTCATGGTGTGGGGTGCTTTCTGTGGCAATGCACGTTCCAGGCTTCTTGTCATCCATGGCAACCTCAACGCTGCTGCTAACCGCGACCAGGTACTGGCACCAGAACTTCTGCCTTTTATGGCAGCACATGGACCCGGTTTGATCTTCCAACACGACAATGCCAGACCCCACACAACAATTTTGACAAGGAATTTCCTTCAGAATGCGGGAGTCAACGTCATGGACTTGCCGTCAAGGTCTCCCGACCTCAATCCCATCGAACACGTCTGGGATGCTCTTGTCAGAAGTCTGCGCACTCTCCAGAACCAACCACAGAATTTGCAAGATCTTGGCACCATTTTGCAGCAACAATGGCGTCGTCTTCCAAATCACGTGTTCACAAGCATCACAAGGTCCATGCGGAGGCGTTGTGTGGCAGTTGTCAACGCACATGGTGGCCATACACGCTACTGAAATTGTGTGCCATCAGATTCTCGCGCTTGGGACTTATGATTTAAACTGTTGATGTTATTACCGAATACCGTAGGTGCTTGGAACAAATTATGGTTACCACCGTTAATTAAAATCCTTCTTTGGACATTAATGATTAAAAATTACCTTCTCTGATACATTTGTCCGTTGTATATCATATATGGGATTACTTTTAAAAATGTGAAGTTTTTAATTTAACTCAGTATATATACTCACACGCAAAAGAAACGCAAGTCGAGTATGCAGTATACATGTTATTTATTTTCAACAGTAAAGACAAATTTGACTGAAGACAGTTTAATGGATTAAAACGCAGATGACATAATTGTTTTTTTCAAATGTTAAGGGCTTACACAGTTTCGGGTCAATACCAAAAATGTCAGTCAATACCTGGTGTGACCACCATTAGCATTGATCACTGCCACACATCTCCTGTACATTGAGTGGATCAGACGATTTGTGAAGGCCCTAGGGATCCTCCTGCACACATCCAGAGCAGATGTGCTTAGTTCGTCGGCAGTTGTAGGGACTGGGCGCACATTGTGCAGACGCCTTTGAACCTCATCCCACAAGTGTTCAATGGGGTTCAGATCAGGGCTGAGGGCTGGCCGGTAGAACACGGATGTTGTGTTGTTGCAGAAAGGCCATGGTAGCTCTGGCAACATGGGGACGATAGTTGTCCTGTTGGAAAATGTGTTGTTGGTGTTGTGCAAAAAATGGAACAACGTGGGGTCTGATCACTTGGTCGATATACCGCTGAGCAGTGACGCCGTGTCCCCGACCTTGACCAACATTCAGAAAGCACATGGGTCCGAGTCTCGCATTAAGTCCAATCCCTGGCCATATCATGATGCTAGGTCCACCCCATGGTTCCCTTCCCACAACGGCAGCGCTGAGTCTCGGCATTTTCGAACTTGAAAAATGGTGACAACTGAATGACAAATTATTGGCTTATGCTTGCCTTTTTATAGCCACTACCACGAGTTACGAATGCCATAACTTGCACGTGCATTTTGCTTTACTGCTTCCCTCCATGACATTTATGAACAAGTGTGAAAACAATGCCATTTAAGACATTGCAAATCTTCAATGGCTGCGTTTTGACGCACCGTTTGTCGAATATCAGGTCACCAACATTTTCCCGTGACATATATCCAATTTACATACCGAATTTTTCAGGTTCCATGAACTATGTACTAACTGTGCGTTTCTTTTATTTTCTTTTTTTGAAGAGTGTATATCTGAACCATGTCGCGTACTCGACTCTGTATGACGAAGCACGGGACATTAATTTCTGCCCGACATTGTTACAAGGGGCAGGTCACGTGATATGGTTTATAACTCGGTTGAATGTAGAATCTGTTATATTCAGTGTTGAATTTGACATACTGTATTTATGTATGTCGTGTGCCAACTTCAGGCCTGGTCTGAAATAACACGCTCGAGAACACAGCACGGCAGTGCAGCTGCCACCTTCATATATAACCAATACCATAACATCATATTAATCTAATAATATATAGCTGTTCAATTATCAAATAAATGAACAATGAAGGAAAATGAATAAATACATCAGTAACTAAATACCAGTAACTAGACAATAATTCCAACGAATGAATGGACAAACGAATCTGTATGATCTTTCTTCTATACACATATTCACGAACACACCATCAATTGCCACGATCTCCGTTACGTTTATGAGTTTTCTCCAAGATGGCGTGAAGCCCATTTCTGGTGTCCCCAGCTATGATGTTGCTGGATTATTGCCAATATTGCGACCCTCCAAAATGAAGTTGAGATGCAGCGAGTTCACTGAAGTTGGTTGGTTGGTTGGTTGTTTAACGCCGCACTCAGCAATATTCCAGCTATATGACGGCGGTCTGTAAATAGCCGAGTCTGGACCAAACAATCCAGTGATTGACATCATGAGCATCCATCCACGCAATGGGGATCGATGACATGCATCAACCAAGTCAGCGAGCCTGACCATCCGATCCCGTTAATCGCCCCTTTTGACAAGCATAGTCGCCTTTTACTGCAAGCATGACTGTGTTGCTGAAGAGCTCTTCTATCCCGGATCTTCACGGGTACTGCTTTGTTAGATTTTGTATTTATTATGACCCCTTGGGGATCCCGGAGCGAAAAGGTCCCGAGAAGCAAGTGTATGGTGTAAGGTCATACAAACTAGGTGAAAGCAATGTGCTGGTTGTTTCTGCGTCGTCCTAGTGCTGATTGCGGTGTAAAACAACATGCATTCACCCATATGTGTTACTGTTATAATTCCTTTATTAACACACTAACGATACAACAATGATAGGCTCGCTATAACGTAATCATCTGTGTCGTTATCACACTGAGTGAGTGAGTGTGGTTTTACGCCGCTTTTAGCAATATTCCAGCAATATCACGGCGGGGGACACCCGAAATCGGCTCCACACATTGTACCCATGTCGGGAATCGTACCTGGGTCTTCGGCCTGACGAGCGAACGCTTTACCCACTAGGCTACCCGACCGCCCCTATTACACAAGTCAACAATGAATGTATGACGTCACTTGTGTCGTCATCACGCAAACAATGCTGTAGGCGCTTGAAGTATGAGCTTATTTATTTTGTTATAGTTTTTGCCATTTTATAACACATGGACGATAAATAAAGATTTAAAACAACATGTGTCATCTTTCCGAGGCAAGTTTCCGAGGGAGTTACCTGACTATAAAAGTCCAGTTTCCACAGTTCACTCCCGTGTCTAGGACAGATGTACATGTTTTGTGTCATGCGGAACGAGTGTGAGAAGTTTTGTCACCCGGAGCGAGAACGAAATGCATGAACTCTGACAAGTACGAGACACACACTCCTGAAATTATCCATTTATTATCCACATATTTTGGTCAGCTACCAGAAACTAAATATTTTCTACATATTGAAAACCGTGTTTATAATTATATATAAACTAACGGGGTCATCACGCCTTCAACACTGATAAGTTCTGACGTTATTAATTATGTGACGTCATGTTTCGTGTGTTACGGCCTGTAACATTTGCATAAAGCCCCCGTTACACTGTCAAAAACTTTGATAAAAAACATGGTCAAAGAAAACGTTGACCAAGTTTTCTTTGTCCAAGTTGGGCTGTTTATACTCATCAAAGTTTTTCAGTAAAACGTGACCCGTTAAAAATATTTAAATAATGATGAATCCCTGAATAGAATCCGACCGTGGCAGTGTCGGACAAGTCCATTTCATGAACAGGGGTTAAATTTGATCTTTCGGGCATATTCTCATAATTTTCACGTCGATTATCTGTACCTTTTCTCCTAATACCGATTGTCATATCGCTCCCACTTTTGGAAGCGATCGTTCGGCCACTGCGTTTATCTACTTTACTTAGCTTCATCTGTGGAGAACAACTCACTAGACACTTCCCTCTGATAAATTACGTCGTACAATTTACGACGTCATAAAATTGCGAGCGCATATTCGAATCTCCAGAAATTACGTCACGATAAAACAATGTTATATTGTGAAATAAACCACGCTTCTTTCTTCATTGTTCTTTGCGATTTATCGCGTAGCTATTTCTCATATAGCGTGATATCATTATTATATGTGTTTAATGTATGTAGAGTTGCATTATGTATTTTGTGAAGAAATCCTATATCTATCCGAAAATTGAAAATAATATATACCACGCGAGTGAAATAATACTTAATGACGGAATGTTATATTTTCATTCTGCCCCAAAAGAAAGCACAAAGGTTTTTTTAGGATTAGGAAAATGAAGTTCTGTAAGAAAATACATACTAATTACATTTGACTTTTCTTGTCAAATAACATGTAATCGCATCGAGTGACCTGACGACAAAAGCTGATATGAGCTGCAAAGCCAAGAGTGAAACTGTCAGCTTTTTCACGTTACGATATGAAATATGCTTCACAAGAAAAGATCAGTGTCCTATTTAGTATATTTTACTTACCGATCGTTACTTTCTTTATCACCCAATCCACAGTAGTTCCCGGCATAAAGTGTCATTTCATGTGCAGGAATACATTTAAAGATTATATTAACAGTTACAAATTGAAAGGATTAAGTGTATTATAGCAATGAGCATGCGAAAGGCGATGTTTGTAAATCTGTTGAAGAAAACCAGAAGTTTTAATGTAGAGCAACGTAAATCTGCTGGTTTAATGTGTTCTCAGTCTGTTTACACGGTCATCATAGTTTAAGATCATCGCGACATCACTTTTTTATGAAAATATACATAAACCCTCATTGTGCGAGAGGGCAGCGGCTGGTATATTTCCCTCGCGTTTGATTGGCTGGTTTTGGAGGTGTGTTCCCTACGTCAGAGGTCAACTCATAGTTCGTGCGCAGTGACCGACTTTGTGTGTTCGCTGGCGAAAAGAAGTGTAAGTTAACGTGTTAAAATATCATGAACGTTACGGAAAAGAAAACAATATATGTTGCAGTAGTGCTGAGAACCTGTTCTTTATCTCACTGATTTGATAAAAACAGTGTTGCAGCACTTTTCAGTCGGCTGACACCGCAGCGATAGTGCGACTGGGTCACGTTTTCCACTGGATGCCGGCTGGTGTGGATCAGCTGATCGAAGCAGGACCAAGTTGTGAGACCGGCTAGAACAGCTCTCACAGTTGCAAGGCCGGGTCTAGACTGACAGAAAAACTAAGTGACTTCGTCTGAGAAGATCAGGATCATTGGAGGGTGGATGGCAGATGAGGTTGTGCTTACCAGCTTGCGAGACGTAGAATCCCTCCGATTCTTTCATGTCGTGTGTCATCGCGACTCGGCCGCTCGCCGGCTGGGTATAGACTCTGTGCGAAAAACGTTTGATGCTTGGCTGGATGGATACGGCAGTCCTCGACAGATATATGGCGAAACGGGCATCAACGGGTTTCAGCCCATAGTTACGGAATATCTCCCCGAACTTCTATGTCTTTCCATACAGTGCCCCTTCGACGATGTACGTGAAGCGCTAGCAGACATTCTCGACGATGTCAAGGTAACGGCCAATCTCGGACTGATTATATTCCCAAATCATTTTCTTCTATTGATATGAAATTATACACTTATTATTCATTGTTTAATTGACGAACATATGCGCCGAAGTTTGCTTTGTAAATGAAAGCCATATCGGAAGCTATTCCGGTGAATGAGGTGGCGCTATTCTAGATCGTTCGACCAAGGGAGCGGGTCCCTTGACCTGATTCCGAAGTTCTACCTCGCGTTATCTGACATGAGTGATATGTAAATGTCAAACAACATGCACCCCATACTTGGGGATATTTCTCTATTTACAAGCTGATCGAGATAGGTTAAGTGTCAGATATAATAACCGTGGTTGTGTGGAATCAGGTCAACTTGTGACCTCTAGGTGAGAGTGACCTCAGGGTTACGGTTTGACGGACAGGAGGGGGCGTGGTCTAATTCAGTTCGCCTGTCATAAAATAATTTTTATTATTAGAAAAATGTAGCAATAAGATTTTCTCATAAAGATTAAAAGTCAATTTTTGATGGAATTGGATTCAGGTCTTTTGTGATAAAATATGATTACATGTACACAGCACTCCAAATTAAGAGGGTGGGGGGAATTCATTTAATAACTGATAGGACAATTAATTAAGGATTGACTGTGTATTTTTTTCGGTTCATTGAGGTATGAATCGAAAAACCAATGTGCAAACTGAATGAATCGGCGTAGCGGATTCTTACAAAAGTTTGCACATTGGTTTTTCGATTCATACCTCAATGAACCGAAAGAAATACACAGTCAATGCTTATAATTAAATTTGACAGCATAAAACATGTTTTATCTACAATAGTTTAACCAAAAACAGTGGTATATATCAAGACAGACAAAAATGACGAGATTGATTCCAGGTGTAGGAATACATACTGTGGCGTGACATGAATCAGGTGATTGTTTAATTTATGCACATAAATAATATACTGTCAGTAGCCTCTCAACAGAGAGCAGGAGCAAAACAATGTTCATTAGATATGTCGCTTAAGACAAGAGGCGAAAAGATCTGCAACAGTCAGACTGTAACGAACTGGAAGAAATATGTCCGGGAGAAGGCGGCTGTTTCAAATTACATGGTCAGTTACCGCCAGATTCAAACATTACTTCCCTGATTACGGTAAAACACAGTTGGAAAAATGCTAGTTAGAAAGGAAACCCGAAGACATGAAAGTTGAACCAAGGCGAGCAGAAAAAAAACAGGCGAGCGAGCCTGAACGTTTGCTGTTTCATTCATTCTCAAAGGTTTGTTTGGACAATGAATATGCATGAAAGTCGCTAAATGTCCTGTGCCTGAAGATACGCGTGAGCAGAAAGGGAATTCTCTCGGCTGTAAAATTGGGATTCCCCGACATCCCGAAGTAATAACAGTAGTGCACCTCGGTGGACGTGGCTTAATTTTTTACATTCATTGGGAAATGAATGCAATAACACATGACCAATTCAGCTAATCAGAATACAGGAATTTCAATGAACACAACGAAAATTTAATTATTTCACAATGACTGGAATTTCTGTAATTTATGAAACCTTTTTTCAAGAACAAGTCCAGCCAGCTCCATTCCATTATAAAATCAGAAACAGGAAAAAAATGTGAAAAAGGGAGAGAAAAGTATTGTGTAATTAAAGATTTCATAGCCTAGATATAATGGTTTGTTTCATGCCTAACTGTGCTTGTCGTAAGAGGCAACTGATGGGATCGGGTGGTCAGGCTCGCTGACTTGGTTGATCCATGTCATCGTGACCCATTTGTGTGGATTAATGCTCATGATGTCCATCACTGGATTGTCTTGTCCAGACTCTTTTACTTACAGACCGCTGTCATATAGCTGCGATGCGGCGTTAAACAACAAACTTCAAACCACACTCAGCAATATTCCAGCTTCATACTACTCAAAGAGATTAAGAAACACCCAATTCTTTCATATTGCTAAAGGGAATATGTCTTTCCATTCCAGAAAGAATTGGTTGGTCTTTAACCTTTTTTAGTTATATATAATGAGGTGAGATTCTTTAGTGTACAGCAGTGCACATATAAAGAAATACACAAAATATTAATGACGAGATGTTCGCCTTCATATTTCTAATCAAGAAGGAAGTTAAGGTACTTTCCTGGCCAGAAGTGGTGGGGCTTCTAGGAAATGTCTCATGAGGCCAAGCAGGCCAAGAAGGATGAAAATATTTTCCAGTTTAACCCAGAATTGAAGCAATAACGTAAGGGCTGGGTCGATACATACAACTGTGTGATTATCATGATACCTTGCTCACGATCTGATTCATATCACGATACTTCCATGTGCTCTTATCTATGGTGTGTAAGCCATCTTTATCACAAACAGGATGACCAAATACCTTGCACACTGACGATTTACAGTTGGCAAAGGGGCGGTCGGGTAGCCTAGTGGTTAAAGCGTTCGCTCGCCACGCCGAAGACCCGGGTTCGATTCCCAACATGGGTACAATGTGTGAAGCCCATTTCTGGTGTCCCCTGCCATGATATTGCTGGAATATTGCTAAAAGCGGCGTAAAACCATACTCACTCACAGTTGGCAGTGTCAAGTATGGCACAATGTATGAAAATATTTTCACTGATAATTTTCACTACAAATTAGTGTTTGTAACTATTATTAAAGCAAACATTTAAACTAAGAATCAATATCTTTACTTAGTGTGTGACTGTGATCAATATTTGTATCGAGAAGTAAAAAATTGTGATCCATCGATGCATCGACTACTTGAAACCGAAAAACTCATCATGCTCATGGCCAGTTTCCTGTAATGTTAATCAACATACATGTAATCTAAAGATTAATGATAACATTTAACATGCTTACATTGTCATATATCAAGCTAGTGGACTTTCAGAACAAAATTAGCTCCTGTTATCAATTTAATTTTTCCCTTGTGAGAATTCTAGGTTAGGATAGGACCCCATCAAACTACACTGGTCGTAAGACGCGACGAAATGGACGGCATCGTCAGTCTAAGTGACTTTGTTGGTAGCGTGCCTTCGTACCCCGAAGGCGTGGATCATAGCTCACAGTATTGATCACTGGATTGTCTGGTTCAGACTTGATTATTTATAGGCCACCATCATACAGCTGGGATATTGCTGAGTGCAGCGTTAAACAAACATCCAAACAAACAAAACAATTTGATTTTTTATCAGAATATTACCTCATGGGTACCCCAGATTAACCTTTAGCCTGCTGAATTGTTTTCACATTTCTAAGCCCTACCTGCTGGATTAATTTTAGCATAAGGCGCTGTAAAGTGGGTGGGTGATTTCAAACAGCTTCTCGGGGACTGTATTGTTTGTCGTGAGACGTGAATTGGAATGCGTAGTCTGGGAGGCTTGGTGACTTTGTTTCGTGTGTATCAATATTCCGTAAGGGCAGTGCTCATGATATCAACCACTGGTTTCTTTTTCTCAGATTTGATTATTTAGAGGACACTGGGATGTAGCTGGAATGTTGCTGATAGCATTAAACAACATATAATTAATAAGTAAATTAATAATTCTAACAAGCATGACAAGTAGAAATCTTAAATGGACACACACCACACACACAGACGAGCCACACACACACACCACACACACACAGTGACGAGCCACACACAGACCACACAGTGACGAGCCACACACACACGACACACGACACACGACACACATACAGTGACGAGCCACACACAGACCATACAGTGACGAGCCACACACACAGACACACACACACACGACACACATACACGAACACACACACTACACACAGAGGCAGACACACACTACACACACTACACACAGAGGCAGACACACACTACACACAGACGAGCCACACACACACACACACACACCACTGAGACGAGCCACACAGACACACACACCACTGAGACGAGCCACACACAGACACACACAGAGAGACAGCGAGAACACACACACACACACACACACACACAGACAGCGGGAACACTGTTGAAATAAAAAGTGTACTGTTCATAACCTTCTGTTGAGATTAAATATGCTGAATACGTTTTGTTCGTAATGCTACTAGCTACAGTCCAGCGGGCGTGCTTTGTGCTACATTGAGGTATGACCCAGATTGTGTTGTCTTCATGCTAACTGGTCTTAGAATCTGATGCAACACTCGAACCACTCATGCGGAACCTAATGATGTCTCTAAACACAAGTTTCAGATCCAGGATTGTTTCGGCCATGATGATAGTCTTCATCTTTCAAAGCGATTATTTATTCATAGAGACAAGTAATGTCGACATTGTGCTGCACTAACATGGGGTTAGTGAGGGAGTACTGCTGAATGCTACATCTCATGTGAAACTGTTAGTTCACCAGTGATGCAAGAGTGAAATAGGACAACTTGCAACAATGTAGACTCCAATTTGTTTCTATGAAATGCTGTTAGTCTAAGTCTCACATTTACTCATCTATCAAACGAGCAACTAAATATAATTTGAAACGCTTCCGAAAGGTTATAGTTTCCAGCGTGTCCAGAGGATGTTCCTGCATTTGGAACACACCAGTCATGTGGTAAAAATATGCCTCTGATTTTTAGGTCACCTTCCATGGATGTTGTGAATTTTTTTTACCTGAAATGTTTCTATATAGCAACGATTCGTGATGTTCACACACACGCAATGCGAGTATTATGTTCTGTTATATTAATCGCCTTTAGAAGATAAAATGCCTCATGTCTCACAATTTATATATGTATCTAATCTGATATTATGATTCACCGCGTCCTTATTTTAGTCTTACACATAAAGCGTATTGTGGTGTTTAAGTACGTAAGGACAAACTAGCTACATTATCATGATTATCATGATTATGGACACACGATTATTATGAATGATTTTCTTGTGGAATGGTCCCTATGTAAAACCTTAAAAATTATAATTATATATGTATTCTACCATGCATGTAATTCAGTTAACTGTATCCTGTATTATTACTTTGGAAATTTTAAACA